AAAAGAATAAATCGGATATTTTCATTTAGCATAGTTCAAAGTATCCTCAGCACGCAAATAATAAATTTATTTAATGATGAACTTTACAAGCGATTTGCTTCACGAGTATCTAACACGCAACATGCACCGCAACATATTAAGTTTGTTAATTTATTATTTTTGTAAGTGATATCTTGTGCGTGTTTTATTTTCGCATTACTATACCGATATGTAAACCAATATGGAAATGAATATTGAGACTGGTTATAAAATACCTAATTACGAATAAATAATCATAAAAACACGATTAAAATGCAATAGATTTATATCACATTTTAATTTTAATGTATCATTAAAAAACAAAAAAAAACTTTAATTAATATTCTATTCATATAACAATTCTTAAGTGCCTCATATTGAATAAGTATGCGAAAATAGATGTTGCTTGGCATTTCGACGTTATCTAATTAAAATTTATCAAATATATTTCGTAAATGTAATACTTTGCTTTATAGAAAACTGTTGACGACAATAGATAAAGTAATTTATACGAGTCAGTTGGTCATCAAATTTTGTGATGCTAGATAAATTTCCCATGAAAGAAGACTATCCCATAATTACGTCAACGAAATTCATCGATTTTGATTTTCAATAAAGAGATGCGAACAAGGATGCGCTTGATATCTGTATCGAATTTAAAGTGTCTCTAACTAAATTTAAAACGGATACAGCTTTTTATACAGTGACATTAAAACGAAACAATGAACGTCTCCATTGTTCGTGCCTTTAATGTAATCTAAAAAGTAAGTAATTAAATGAAGTGTTACGTAATTAGGTCCTAACCTTGAGAAAGAATTTATATTAATAAAAAAAATGTTTTAGTCTTATTACGTCGTTTAATGATAAAAACGTGAAAGGAAGAAATTGCTTTGTAAAAAATTGCAGCTTTTCAGTCCCATTTATATTCACAAACTAAGCGTACTAGAATATAAATGCAGTAACGGTTGAATTAAATATAACTAGCGGCGTGTTTATAACAACAGGTATAAAACAAAGCAACAATCACTCCGACTTCCGCCTTCCCTCCTTACACCATTTGTTTGCATGCTCGGCTAGTTGATAAAAAATAAACTTTTTTTACATCAACTGCACAGCTTTGCTTCTTTTCTAAAACATTTTTTTGTTGAAATAAAAGGCACTCGAATTGAGTTGCCACTGGCACAAAGGCCGTAAACTGCATTTATATTCTTTTTATTCAAACTTTTTGCTCTACAACAAAGTCGTCACATAATTACATTTTTAAAATTTATTTCACAGGAATTCATCGCAAGCTTATAAAAGCGTTATAAAACTAGTAACTATATTTAAATAGAGAAGAAAAGGAATGTTAAATACAAGTAACATTTCGCTCAGCAAACAGTTTCGTAATGGGCGAAGTTTAATCGCAACTAACTTCCTACACTTATTTCGACTAGTGTCGACAACTTTGTACAATTTAAGGAACAGCATGGGCGGTAATAAAAGCAGAAGGCAGCGGTTTAAACTTTTCCCAGGTAAGTATTTATGTGACGACGTGCTAACATTGAGCCCCGGGGAGCTTCGAGGAGACTGGGGGGTGTCGCGGGGCGTCTGAAGACGAGACACTTGGTCGCCGCTCCCGCTCATGCTTCATCTTATAAAACTTATATTGATTTTGTTTAAGCACACGTTGGCGTTCAATCAAGTACACATATGTCACATTTCGTTTCTGAAATGCTGACATTAGTCTGCATATTAGTTTTTATTCAATGAAATGATCGTTTTATCAGTGCAGCAATAGCCGTAAGACTAAGCCTTATTATTTAATTATGATTTCTCATTTCTGAGCAACGGGCCGCATCCGCGGACCAATACCAGACCACTCACTCTGATAATGGGTCCCGATGGGCTTAAAACTATTCGGTGCTGAAACCGGACAGTTTATAATAATGTCTCACAAAAGCTTAAAGAATCTAATAAGATTGGTTTTTTTTAACAAGTGATACCAACATTTTTTTCATTTACAAAGTGATTAATAATAAACGTTAAGCCCGTGACCAAAAAGGATTCTGCAACATATGGTCTTTACAAAGAACTGTTTGGCCTCACTTTTTCCCAATAAAGCTTTTTGTAAGCAGGTAAATTCAATTTCGTTAAAGTCTTATAACCGAAGTATTATCAAGTATCATCCTAAAATTCACTTTTATTTAATTGCAATTGAATAATATGATTCGACAAACCATTCACGTATACATGTACGTATATAAATATAATCTTCTTTATTTATTGCAATTTCAGTTAACATTATTATAAAAAGGTAAAAGACAAATTCCGTTAGAACGGAAATGTTCTCAAGCATTTCATGTTAGAAGTTTATAATACAAAAAGTACGTTAGGTTAGCAACGGAGCGGATTAAAAGTATCATGACACTGGTTAATTCGATAAGGTCCTTGATTGAAGCGGGGACATGGTAAGCGCGGCGTGGGAAATAAATTCATTTACCTCATACCTACTTATTGTTTTTGTGGCCGGTGGCCGCCGACCGCTCCGATGACACGGTCACGCTGCCGTCAGTTTTTAATTCGACGTCTTTTATTGAAATAATTTTAAGTACGCGCACGTACGTTAAACTCTCTTTAAACCTTTTAATACCATTTAAATTTTAAAATTGTGAATTTCAATTGGATGTTAATTTCTCCTGATTAAAATTCGATATAATTGAGTCCAAACACTACTTAATAACCAAGCTTATTATTAGTATGTTACTTCTACCATTAAAATTTGATTGTGTGCAATTCAAATTAAGGAAATTATAATTTTATATTAAGCATCAATTGTTTGAGACATAATTATTGAATTTAAATAAAAATTTAAAGTTAATTAAATACTCTTAGAGACAAAAAATATATTTTTTGCGTCAAATTATCCATTATTAAGTTGCTTGTTGAAATCAATGCAAGATAGACCTTTAGAACGTAATTACAGATAATTTGAAATTGGAAGCTATTAAACAATAATAGTTCTTAATTGATAAAGCACATGATAGATTTTCGTTTCATTTTTAATAGAGGCTGACATCATGCAACAAAAGAGGTCAAAAAGGATTCTCAGTCTTCATTATTATAAAGGTCCCACGCAAGACATAGACTGGTATCAAATTATAAACGAAGGCCTTGGAAACCAATACTGCGATAAATTGTATGTGAAAAAAATCCTTTTCTTTGTATACGTAAACAATACATTTTAAAAAGGATTTATAAGTCGTATGGTGAAAGCGAACTCCAATATTTTACAGCTGACAGACATCTACTAATGGGTATTATGATTAAACCGAATTAAGATGTGACGAGCTCTTTATAAATTTAACTTAACAGATTAAGGATCGCTTTATAAACCCGATTGGAAAGGCGGGAAATGCGGTTTACTAGTTTATCTTTGGATTACCTCGGATTACCTACTCTATCTTTAATGTATAATACCAACAGATTTATTTTTATTATTTCAACATAGGTAAATTAGCTCATTGGAATCTACATTTGTTGTATAAGCGACTCAAAATTAAAGTTGTTCATACATAATATAATTAATACTAAAGAATAAATAAGACGCCAACTAGACAACTTACACAAGAATACATATTTTGAATAATAATATTTAAATCTTCTTAAAGTAATTTTCGTATAATCTTTTGCTAGACAAAATTTATTTGCCTTGTCTCAATATGTTAACGAAACGTTTTTTTTTTCAATATGAAAACGAAGAAGGCATTGATCGCCGGGTCAGAGAGGACAGCCGATTAGAAAGTATATACGACAAGATTATGTTTCTTTGGTATTTAACTACAAAATTACTTTACATTTTCTTTTAAAACTAATTACTAATATAAGTAGCGGTCTGTGTTATTTATTATGATTGAATTGAAAATATTAAAGGGATATTTATTACAGTTATAGTACTTAATTTTATAGGTGGTCGTAAGTATTCATTGTTTGGCAACAAACACATATAATATGAAGTTATGGCGTATATGATGTATATATGCGTGTATATAATATTGTATTAATACCGATTTCCAAAGAAACCGAGTCCCGCTTACGGTTGTTGACCATATGCTAGCTGTTTGGCTTTCGTAATTTTTGCAAAAAAAAACTGGTTTTACACAGAAAACTGCTTGCATTGTGTGCAAAAATTGCATAAACGTTGCACACCGCATGTGGTGAATTAAATAGGAGCAAAGAAACCTGTTCGGACCTATAATATACGCGCGCACTCCAATGGGCCACAAACGGCAGACCCGTCGCCATAATTTAGAATGTTAGCGCAGAATTCTCGTTTTATTGTGCATGACTTCAGCATACAAGACAAATTGTCGTCTGTGTACACAAACGAGCGAAAGCTCACTTAGACCAAATTTACACTTAGTGGGAGACCACAGCAGTGCACTTCTCGTACTGTACTCTCAGTGTCGTTCCACAAGTCAGCTGCTCACAATGGCTATACTATTTACAACATATCGACTACAAATCCCCTCAGAAAATGACTGCATATCATTATGTTATCATTCACATGAATTTATATTGACATATTAAGCTTGGTAAATAAAAGTACTTAGAGTTCATTCAATAGGTCATTGCACTTCCGAGACGACGTCCAAGCTATTACGGAGCGCCGTTTTTATAATGGAATTCACAAAAAGAAGACCATATAATTTTGCAAAATTAATCAATTGGTTACGATATCGTTTTGATTTGATAAAGTTAATTGGAGGGAGATAAATATTTTTAAAAAATTTATATTGTATTTGAGTAAATAGAATTGTAATACATATAGGTATGACATGAGTTGTATTATGTAAAGGTAAACAATAGCCGAGGATCTTCATTCGATAGAATAATAAATAGTTTTGCGTTATATACCTACCAGACCTAGTTTCCATACACTTCTTTACAAAGGAAACGTCTAAAGATGTAAAACAGAGGATATATTTTATGTGAATAATTACCTCGAGATCTTCATAGGTGCGAAATGCCATTATGGCGAAACCATCAATGATATCCTCTTCCCCGAGCGGCTCCTTCGACTTCTTTCTCCTGGCTGGAGGACGAGGCGGCTTCTCTCTCGCCGGAGACTCGTCCTCGCCGCTGTCCCCATCCTTAACTTTGCTCTCTCGCTGTGCTTGCATGCGCTGCGCCCGCTCCCTTCGCCTATTTCTTTGATTGCGCTGCTTCACTTCGTTTTCCATCGTTCGCACATTATTCGAAACACCCGACCACCGTGCTTCACTACACTAAAGTCCGCACTACACTTTTATCACACATTGTATACCTTGTTTTTATGCTTTGTAATTCGACGAATTACAAATACTGCCCGCAGAAAAAGACACTAGTGGTTTCCAATGGCGGATCGTACACCGTTGCCGCATTGCAAGTAAAATGGCCGCGTAACACTCAATGTGCTGTATTATTTCACATTTACGTAAACGGGGACATAATTACACTTATACTAATATATACTACAATAAAATTTAACAAGAACTAAGACAATAAAACGATAAATTAGATTTATACATTATTCTCTGTGTTCGGAATCAGTCAATAGTCAATACAATGAAAGGTGTTGCACGACGCCAACGCTGCGTTGCGGTCGCGATGGTGAACTAAAACAGGGCTACCAACATAACGCAAAGAACATTCCGCGATATCGGGCGTCATTGGCAATGTGGCTGTCGGTTATCCTCTTCTAACACTTATGGGGTTCTCTTTCTATGTCATAAGGTGAATATTATTTTGTTGACCTATTTTACTCTTAATTAGTAAGATTTACTATAAATTTTGATACTTAGGACACAAATAATATATTTGCATATTTTTAGGCTTCCTATATATTAAATATAATAAAAACTATCGATTTAAAATAAAATAAATTGTCCAGTATGTGCACGTACAATTTTTATTATTTAAGTTGGTACCATGTAGTATGAACACGTTAGATGTATTGCATTACATATTTTCTAAATGTTTCACGGAATTTTAGAACGTAAACCTTAGGTTTAAGGTCTGAATTTGTGTTTATGGGTTCGTTTTGAGAGGTGTTTTGTGTTACCAGTTTGAAACGAGTGAGTGTGAAGTTTGCGCATGTTCGTCTTTGACATTTTGTGTTGAGATACGTTCAAGATAATATTTTTATTATAGTTGTTTGAATTTGTTATTTAATTTTTAAATGTAAAAAAAAAAACAATTATTATTTTTCATACTAAACAAATAGATTTGATAAATCGTATAAATATAAGTATAAGTATTAAAGGGTAAATTTTTGAATTGATTAAAAAAAATTAACTGTGTGATGTTCCTGCTTTTATACAAGCCCATGCTATACTTTATTTTCTCTATATAACACAGTGTGTATGAATAATTTGTTTCAGCACTACATAACATAACTTTCTGGTCCCTAACACAGAAAGGGTTAGGCAGGGATCATGAATATCCATTTCGTGAGATCTTCTATGAGATTCTAGAAAAACAAATAAGATCACCAGAAACCAGCAATAAACATTCTCCTAGGATCATGTTTATTTCTGGTTCATTATACATACCCCAATCAATACTTTTCGCCGTGGCTTGGTCTTTTGTATAATAATAAACTAAGCAAAAGAAACTGCTGTTATACTTATATTACCGGAGGTCTAATTTGACCCCCTTTTCCTTCCCATCCTTTTGTTATAAGGAAAGGATGGGAAGAGGATGTGGATATGACGGAGTAGGGGATGCATAGGATGGGGATAAAAGAAAAAACTTGTGTTGTTCCGGGCTATATTCCAAATCTGTCCCAAATTACAGTGGGATCCTTCCAGCCGTTTTAGAGTCCCCTTCCAATAAATATCCATCTATCCATCCATATTTCCAAATATTTGCATTTATAATAATAGCAACACAAAAATGATTTAACTATCCGAAATTAATCCGAAGAGTAACCTGATACTTCCAGTTTTTTTCTTTTTATTTCCTGAATTGCATGTTAAATGGATTTGATAACTCAAACATCAGATGAAGAACAGATATTTATAACAATTTCCTTGCTCACTCTGGTATTCAGTACGATTGTACTTTTGGATAGTGGTCGGAGGACATGTACTTCCTTGCTGCCTGCATGCCCTGGAAAGATTTGAGAGATATTCTGTCCCTGTTTAGATGCAAATGTTAAGACACCTATCAGACCAGTGTTGTAAAAAAAACTTGTTTGTTGGATTTAGCCATAATCTAAGGCGTCCCAGGTACAAAGTTTATCCGTCTCTAAGATAATGAGGACATCTTTTTTATTTTACTTATTTTATAAATTAAGAAATAATAATGTTATAAAGCGTTATATTAATATGACTAAACAGATTATGTAGATTACTTAGTCATATGGTTGATGATGAATAATTTAATATTCAGAATCATAAAATTAACATAATTATTACGCACGGAGTATTCGATACATAACATTAATATGGATTCCTAATTTCCTATCAGTTGTTCGTGTGATTTGACGGAGTGAGGTTGTGTAATCTCATGATAATTTAAGTAACTTTGGTATAAAATAATTTGTTTATTATCTCTTTGATTCCTGAGTAGTGTTAGTCAACGCTGTTTATTAAACAAGGTAATTTTGTCATAGTATAACGTAGTTTTATGTTTTTAAAAATTTGCAGTAATGACGCCGATTTTCTACAAGCCGGTGTTTGTACGCATGTGATAATAATAGTAAATGAGTAATGTCGTTTTTTTAAATGTCACGGACGATATCATCTGTGAACTTATCACAGATGTTATTACGTTTTATAGGACAGGCAAAATAATTTTATTTATAATTTAATCAAATTTCAAAATTACACATAATTACCAATGTTGGTACCATGTAGTTTTTAATTTGTCTTTTCTTCATCCTATTGTTAAGTATTTTGGTGCAACTTTGGTTATTTTTAAAAATATAAAAACAATGTTTTGAAATATTTAAATGCTTATTAAGTTTTCTATTATGTTTGCTAATGGAAACGCCTGACGGAAGCATATTTTCGTTTTCTATTTAATATTTATGTTGAACAACCATAATAACGTCTGTACACGCTTCGCAAAGGGGAGGTAAACGGTGTTCGTTTTACGACGTGACCTTACATTCCATTGTTTATTCTATAAATTGCCGACATGCACGTCCCCCTATTCCACAGTCATTGAATTGATTTTGATTTTTAAAATCATAAAAGAAAGCGGCATGTTTCTCGTGTAGTTAATTACTTCCCTTAAAATAAAAGCTATTATTTTAGAGTGTTAAATCGCATCATATGCATAATGGGTCCGTAAAAACTTGTTGTTTCTGATTATATCGACTTTTTAGAATTGATAGATATTATTAATGGGTCACTGAGGGAGAAACTTTAATGACTTTGAGTATGGCAGTTAAAAGCAACTTAATCATTACCATGTGTATTACAATGCTTAACAAAATTTGTTCATATTCCCAGATGTGTATTTATTTAACTTTCTGTTAAAGAATCTTTTTGGTATCCTTTTCCAATCGATATCCTTAACCTTCGTAAGTCCAACCAGTGATTATATTATTACAAAAAATCTATTTTCTTTTATTTCTTGTAATTGGACGTTTAATTTAAATACCTTTTGTATTTATTGTTTCAGCTATTAAAAATGTCAGTGACAGGTATAAACCGTGCTATTATAATGACATCGATTGTCGGTATATTGGTGTCGACGTATGCACTGTACGTGGAGATGGCAGCTGAGGCGCGGCCCGGCTACAAGGCCCTCTGCGACCTTTCTGAACACGCGAGTTGTACACGAGTGCTTACATCTGAGTAAGTAGTACATTCTTTCATTTTAAACGTTATCCGTGTGGGTTGAAAAACAACAAGGCTGTGTGCTATTACAGTTACAGATTGTAATCTATGTTATATATCCAGATCTGCTTAGCTGTTCTGGAGTTACGAGGTAACAAAAAGTTATACTTTAAAGTTAAAATTTAGAAGAATACTGGTTTAGTTTGTTTTCAACTTGGGAATAAGAGAAATATATAATATTTATTGTTAAAAAACTCGCATATTATTATGCATAAAATATGGTATTAGAAGAATTAATATTAATATAATTAATATAAGTTTTTCGACTGTCGAATAAAATTGTTTACTCGCGAGATCAGTAACAATTTTATTTTTGATATTAACAACGTTAATATGATTTGTTGCAGATTTTCTAAAGGATTTGGATTTGTGCCCGAAGATTCATCTTTCGAGGTTCCTAACTGTATATACGGGATCGTCTTTTATTGCATTGTGATATTTTTATGTAAGTTGGTGTTTTACATTTTATACCAACTAACAATACTTCTAGAGACATACTTAAAAAGCAATTGCTTATTAACTCAAATGTAAATAAAGAGATATTCCGTAACGCAATTGGAATAGAAAATAGAATTGGAGTAAATGACATAAGGGGAGTGTTTTTCATAGAGTTTTCATGCTTCAGACAGTTGCAAATTGTAATTGTATTTGGTCATTTGTAAGTGACCACCTTATCTAATAAAAAAATATGCTAATTGAATAAACGGAATAAAAACTACTGCGAGCAGCTTGCGTGTAAGTAATACACAAACGGTTATAATTGATTGTTAGTTTGCAGTAACAAAAACGAATTATAAATAGCCGTATTACGGACTCGAAGTATTTTTATAGGTTGGTTAATATAGTTATGATACTTATTAGAGTGACAATATTTAAATAAATAAAATAAAACATAAAGCTAAATGAAAAACACGTATTTGTCTAGTCTTTTTTTTTCTTATTAAATTATGTTTATTATTTCTGTGTCATCATTATTTTTTATTGTCTTTTATTTGACTTAGTTTATGGCAGGCAATGAAATAATTGAACAATTTACTATAGTAGATATTAATAATTAAAATAATGATGATGTACTACGGTAATTCGGTTTGTATTTATGATGACGTCATCGTCTAAAATGCAATCACGTGGTTTGATACAAGCCATTCATCTTGTCCACCTTTCCCTGATTTAGTGCTTTGAGGAGGCAATTTTCGCGTCACCATAATTCATGTTTAGAATCCGTGACTTGTGCAGTGTACGCTGGCTTGTGCAAACTGCTTACTACGATTATTTGCCCACTATGATTATTTGCCCACTACGATTATTTGCCCACGATGAATATTGGTTCACAACGCTTATTTGGTAGCTCACGAGCCGTGAGTAACTGTTATCGTAAAGTTCTTACAACCGTCTATTCCTGGGAAGTGAGAAAGATTTCGAATACGATTCGCACGTAAAGCACTTTATTGCTGTGCACTTAACCACTTGAATTTCGTAAACGTGTTAGGTATTCAACATGGCTTTATGTAATACGTGCTCTTTTGAATACTAAAATTAGGATTCTGATAAATTTACCTGTTAAGATTCTTTATGTCGACAAAAAGCAAGTAGCTCTGTTTGACCGTTAAATCGCGAGAAAGTTTTTTTTATACATATTTCTTTTATTTGCAATTGATTAGTTCTGTGGTTTCGATATATTACAATCTTACATTTCACACTGTGAAAATCTGTAATAAGTATTAATTATAATAAATGTTTTTATTTTTATTTTCCAGCAACATATGATCACGCAGCAGTAGTGCGGCTGCAACAGTTCCTGTGCCTAGCAGCGATGGCGTCCTGTGTGTACCTCGCTTACCTCTTACTATTTGTACTGTTAGATTTTTGTATAGTTTGCGTTTCAACGTATGTAGTTAATGGTATGCTTCTAGTCTTTGTAAACAAGAAGAAAAATTTCCTGTCTGCCAAAAATAAATAAGCGAATTACAAAGATTGAAATAAAATAAATGTGCAAGCTTTACATTTGGTCTCTGTAGCGCCATCTAGTGTGTAGAAATGTTAATACATTTTTTAGCGCCCTCTGTTGTAGAGTAGATTTAAACGACTTAGTTCATAGATGGCATGCTTTTAAAATAGATGATTTTGCATTTAACTTATTCGTATGTTTCAGAAAAAAAGGAAAATAATTCAATTTGCTAGTGAAAATTATAAACGAGAATTGTGTTTCCTATAAAGTGTATGAAGTTATCTCCAAAGATTAGAAGTATAATTAATGGCATTTCAATACTAATTATATGGCATTTTTTAACCTAAAAAATCGAGTTTTTATTGGCTTATGTTTTTAAGCAATCACCGGATGTTATATAAATTATATCGCCAAAAAAATCGTTCTTAACAGTTAAAAATATTAAGTAATTACCAGAATTTAATCCCCATTTTTGTATGAAACATAAGCTAATAAATTTGTAACCTAAATGTATCATTGTCATTATGTTTTTTCCCATTTCCTAAGTTAATCTTAATAAAAAATTGCTTATTTCAGAAATTTTTAATACTTTTATATCAAAATTAAATATGAGATTCTTATTATTTGTTTGCAAGTAATGCAAGCATTTCCTTGCGTAGTTTTATTGCGTATCAGTGCGCAGACGCGGACGTGATCGCCATATCGGCGACGCGTTTACGCCGACGCAAAACGTCCTGCCGATCCTTGTTTGATTAGCGCTGCCATTTTGGCCGCGGCCTAACTTTGTTAGTGTTTTTGTTACTACTATATTAACATTTTATATTGTAGAATATAATTTTATTTGCTTATTATATTGATAATATATCAAGGTTCAGGTAAAATATATTAAGTTTCCACTGTTATAACAGCTTTAACAAAATATAGTGATCAATTGAATTATTTGAAAAAAATGCTGATAAACTTGAAGAAGTTTAAATACACGGTTTTTCTTTATTAGTATTTATGAAGAAAAAAGATGCAGTTGATGGTTTGTTAACCCTAAAAACTTCTAAATGCTGTACCGTAATATTTCCTTTTAATTATCTTTATCGAGTCCAACCAGACAGTGCTGAAGTACTATCGGAGTCGTTGATAATTCGTTTATTAGTTTGTTCCTGTCAAGAAAATATCTAACATCCGTTAGTGTCAAAGTATGAAATGTCGGCTCCAGAAGATTTGATATTAAAACTTAAGGACCTGCTAGTATCGTGACATACATCATTTTCCTCGTAAAATCATAGTCATCGCAATTGTTGTGTATGACGGAACGAGGGCCTTGTAGTTGTCATCGTATTTTTGCGAAACGATGCGGCGCAATGGCAATGCCACTTTGTATATCGCGTATCGTAGTGTCAACGACACTTTATTTACAAAGAAACTAGCTGTGGCCTGCGACTTCGTCCGCGCGGAATGAAGAATAAATTTAAATTAGTAACTAACGTCTCCTTTCGGACTATGTGCCTAATTTCATCGAGAGCAGTTATGGAGATACGTTCTAACAAACATTCATCCCACTAACAATCCATCCATCTAAACTTTCGCATTTATAATATTAGTAAGATTATTTGTGCTTTTTATAACAAACTTTTTTCCTGATAACAAGCATTTAAAAGTTCTACTTTATACTCATTTAAATAAGGAAAACTTTAACAAAGACACTCCTTATAAGAAAAAGTTAATCAAACATATCCGTGGACGTAACATTTGAATCTAAGTTACATCCTTATAAAGAAAATGGTAACTTGACAACCTTTATAAGCATTCTTAAGCTTGTATTCATCGTAGCTATTTTAGAGTCATTGAAGGAAAATGTACACGACGTACATTGTCAAGGAAAAACAATGTAGTATGTTTCTTGCTACATTCATAGATTTTTTTATGTTATAAGGTCACAAAAGAGCAAGTGTCAACCGGAATTCCCAAAAATAGCGAAGGAACATGCAGGGCGTTTGCTCCTCATCAGACGAGGGGACAAGCCGCCCTATTCAGGCAAATGATACAGGGCTCAACCGCTGTTCATTTTTGACAGTGGTAGCATCTTCGCACGAATTGGCCCGGCTCGCCCGGTGAAATACCACGACCACACAGAAGACAGGCGTGAAGCTATTCCGCGTTTCGTCTGATGAGTGTGCGTCCCGGATGCCTAATTTAGTCCTCTTTACCATCCTAACCTTTTTCTTGTAAAGAAGGGATGGGAAGTGGAAGTGGACTTTCCGGATGAGAGGATGCATGGAAATGTTTTCTTTCTGTGCATCTTCTCCTCCGTCGAATAAAGGTAGGCAACGCATATGCAATTGCGTATGTCTATGGGCAACGGTCACTTCGCCATTTCAGCGATTTCAGGTGGCCGTTCGCTCGTTTGCCACCTTATGATATAAAAAAAAACCTTACTAGGGATTTAGATTTGTTTCTTCCTACTTATCTACTACTTACTAATCTGCAATAAGTGTGGTCTTGCGTATCAAATGTATAAAGCAAAAAGAGAAAAGTAGCCATAGAATAAGTCTGCAGTGACCCTTTAAAATCCCTTTTACAATAGAATACAATATTTATTGGTTATGTTTAAATTAAGGGTCAAAGAGTGATTTACAAAAAATTTCACTGAAAAAACAAACTCTTTTACAAAACAGAGACAGTATGTTATTTTAAGGTAACGGTTATCAATTGAGCAGTTAGTGTTACTGCTCTTCAATGATCTGCAGAGATGTCTCCGTGGCTACAATATGATACTTGGATGTCTTTGCCCTGTTTACCACGGGCTTATTATGATAAAAATAATTTTTAAATGAAGAGAAAAGATTAACGAGCAAGTTCTTTTTGATCACCTTGAGAGATTTCTGACTTGGCCTTGCTTCTCTCCGCATTCTTTGGTGTATTATAAAGGATTGTTTGCGGAATTCTCGAAAAAAAAATCATGTTTCACATAATACATTGTGATTAAAAATAGGCAAATAAATACATTTTTTTCTTTTAGCTTTAATATAATAAAAATATAAAATAGGTATTATCAATACGATGGTCATCTACTATCAATTATTTTATTGTTTCCAGTTTTGACATTTTATTATATTATACATTTTTATTTTGTTTGTTGCTTTTCATCTAATTTTTATAACATCAAAATTCCTACATAAAAGTATTAACTATTTAACAGTTTATAAAAGAATCGTAACGGAATGTAAACAAAGCTTGTTCTTCATGTTCTATTTAAGTCAGTTTTGGCGCGTAAATATGTCACATGACCATAATTTGTTAAGTTCACGTAACCTTATCCGCGATATGATTCATGATGTTGATATTTTTACGGCACGTTTAGGTGCGCGTTCTTCCAAATTTGCACACAAAGCTTTGCCTACGCGCACTTCGTAATAACAAGTCGGTATACGTTATAACATAATTATCCACTACCAGTTTAGCCTACGCTGCTGTGCCTTATTTAGACGAACACCTTGGAGTTTGAATGCCTACGTCCTTTAAATAAGTTTTTGGAGTAACTTACTTTTAATCTGACCAGTTAGTCGCTATGAGTGACTGTATTTTTTTTGTTTAAATGCTGTAATTTTCCATCATAAATATTTTATTTTTATTTTTAAATATAACGTAATCTGTAACCAGAACTACTTGTTCGATTTTTAAATTGTGACGTGTACTTAAATTCGAATTTTTCTCTTTCATGCCATGAAGACAACAGACTTGTTTTTTTTAATACATATAACTTAATTTAATTAGTGATTTATATATCCTAATTTTGCTGTCATATGCCGAGTTAATTTATATAGCGTTCATAAAAACGCACCAATAAATAATTTATTATGTTAAAAATGGTTGGGTAAAAGATAAAGTTAATGGCTTTAATTAACAAAACCAAAATTCGTAAAATCGGCTGCCTACTATTTTATATCGATTAAGCTGTAAATTTTGTTTTACATGTTTTATATCAGCATATGTACTTAAAAGGCAAAACAACCATATTTTTGGTAGAGTGTTAATAGATTTATAGAGTTTAATTAACAAAAAGATTTAATTGCCTTAGTTCTGTTATAGGCTAGGAGCTTTATAGTTCAAGAGCCAATTATAAAAAAAAAACTAAAAGATGTATGTTGCAACTGGTAGAATAAAAAATATAATATACAAAATTGTAACTTTCAGTTTGTCTGATACTTCAGGTCATTTTAATTCTGTAAGGCCAAGTATTCTAAAAATACATTAAGTATCCGTAAATATTCTTATTTTAAAGACATATTTAACATATATAGTTTGAGTTAAAGTGAAAACAAAAAGAATATTTTTTAAAAAACGTAAAATCACAAACGAATACGAAAGCTATCAAATTATCGTTAATTTCGCGGGTAAAGTAACAATCTTAAGGCAAATTTGGGGCCGGTTTTAAAAACATTAGAAATTATTAACCTCTCTTCTTAGGAACCTGTTACAAAGCACATTTCTGATTCAGGTTCAAGGTCTTTTATATATTACTAGCATTTGCACGCTACTTCGTTTGCGCAGATTTAAAATATATCTATTATAAAACAATACCCTATTTCACCCGGGAATAGTGTAGCGTCCCAATAGTAGAATTTTTAAATCGGTTCTGTTTTTTTACATTGAATAAGCCACGCTTACCACAATCTACGATAGTTTCGGAACTTATTCAATGCAAACAAACAAGCAATCAAATTTTTCCTCATTATAATATTAGTATTCATCATTTATTACTATTTTTTACTGTATTTTTTTTATTTATCTCAATCCAAGGTTAGCGTTTTACGAATTTCAATAAGTATAAGATATAAATTATATTTAAAGTGTTTTTAATATCCGTTGCTATAAATGTGGCGAATTTCCTAAAGTTATGTCGACTCATAGTCGTTAGTTTTAGTTTCATTAGAGAAATCTGCGTTAGATTCTATACCAACGACTGAGTTTGTCAGTTACTAATTAAAAATTATTAGAAAAGGGAGAGAGAGATACAGAGAGAAAGAGAGAGAATATGCAGCCTTTTTTTATGTCCTGGT